ATTGACGAGTCTACCTGCGTGGGTCTGTTACAGAAGTTTAGCTCCTGTTCGTTGTGAAATTTTGGATGGATGCATGGAAAGCTGCACATTTATGCCAAGGTCTCTGGTCTCGATAACTGCATGGTCTTAATTTGGTGTATGGCGACCTGTACCAATATGTATATTTGGAAATGCTGACAGATTATTGTTCTGCGAAAAACTTGACTGAGCTCGTTAAAGATCCGGATTTTCAATATATGGCTTAATACTGAAATCTTAGTTTTACTGTTACTTTCTTCCTGTTGACACGTACTGTGATTATGAAGATTTTCGGAAGTTCTAACCAGTCTGTGGGATCTAACACTACTGAAATGAATGACACCACCGTTGCTGAAACTGAGGAGGCATGGATTGAACGGGGACTGGTGATCTTCTTTCTTAGTGTTTTACCTGTGATTGCTGTTGTTGGAGTTGTTGGTAATGCCACATTCATGTACGTTTTCAAGAGTGTTAAATCCATGCGTACTCTGACCAACTACCTCCTGCTGAGTTTGAGTGTTGCAGACTTCCTGATTTTAGCAACGTGTGTGCCTTTCGAGTATGGCTCCATTCACGAAGTCATCACAGGTGAGGACAAGAAGGTACTGTGCGTATTTTGGACACTGTTTAATATGGTGCCGGTGTTCACCTCTATGTTCACAATCGGACTGATAAGCATAGAGCGATATTTTGCAATATGTCACCCCCTCAAAGCATACAAGGCAGATAGACGAAAGAGAATCGTTGGACTGATCATTGCTAGTTGGGTCGTCGCAACTGTCCTCTCTGCATTTTACTTGGTCGGATGCTTTCACCTGACCGTTGGAGTGTATGTGACATTTGCAATCTGTCAGATGGTGCCGTTCTTTGTGTCAATGGTTGTTGTTGTTATTCTGTATTCTCTAGTCATTATTAAGATGCGAAAACAAAGCAAAGTGACCCGATCAGTCAAGAGCATTAGCAACTACTACCGTGAACGTCACCAGGTGGTGCGACTACTCATAATCACCACTCTCGTCTATTTCATTTGCGTTTTTCCAGACACGTTTTTAAATCTACAGCTGGTGTTGGCCGCGCTCGGCGCATCGACTTTCATCCCGACAAATGTCCACGTCCACCTATGGTTTATCTGCCGAATCCTTCTCTATCTCAACTCTGCCGTAAACCCGATTATTTACAATGCCGCCAGCTCAAAATACCGACATGCTTTCAAGAAAACATTTGCAAACTGTCGCTGTTGCTGGAAAACTGTGCTAACAACTGAGAGGTCAACAGTCATCGTGCCTAGTTTGTTGAAATTGAGATCAGGAAAAAGTCTTGTTGTTAATGATCAAACTGCGACTGTGAACAATAATGTTGAAAATGTTAATTTAGCATTTGTAGATGGAGATGATGCCGAATTAGCAGTGCTATAAAGCATATAGCAGTGCTATATACTGCTTCAGTGTATGTGTAGATATGGAAATACAAATGCATATATTGATATATTTTTAATATTAAACAGCTGTACAGGGCAGCTATATACTACAACAATCAAAATTGCCATAAATTTATGTACAGAGCATCTCGTGCTAGAAGCCCTGTGGTGTAATGATAAATTCACATGCTGGAGACATTGTGATGTAACTCTAAATTTACGTTTAGAAAATCTTTTTCTGAAAAGCTGTGTGATGTAACGCTAATATTACGTATATAAAATCTTGTGCTGGAGGCCATGTGATGCAACTCGGGTACCTCATTCTATATATTTTGGCACCAGCATGGCTATCCATCAACAAAGTTTCTGGTTTAGATGTATTATTAATGATTTGTTGTCCCCACAAATTATACTTGATTTGTAATAACATAGACAATTATTGTTGAATACATTTTGAAATCGCATTGCACTAGGTCATCATCGCCTAACACAAAGAAGTCAATTTTATTATTAAATCCATATACATGTGATTTTGTCAAAAAAAAATTTCAAAACTTTTATCCATATCAAATTAGATTCACAGGGACTGAATTAAATAGGTATATGTATATGTATAGATAAAATAGAATAAATTTTGCTTCAGCACTCAAACAGGTTAATGTACATGTATTATCATGTTTTTTTATTGCCCCTCAATTCATGGTGTACATGTGCGTATGTCTATGATTTGTACATTTGATGTTGAGTCTATTTACATAATTCAAACCAAATTGAAATGATTCATTGGCAAATCATGGCACATGGCAAAGTACTTGACATTGGTCTGACAGTATATGTGGGGCCTGGTGATAAAGAGATTACGTTCAAGGGAAAGACTGGATTATATTCTATGATAATGTTGTGGCGTTGTTGCATCGGACTCCAGATCAGTGAACCCAAGTTCAAATCCTACCTGGGTAGAACACTGGATGAAGTCTATCCCTATTTTGCCTCTCTCTGACACACCCAGGTATTACGTTAACCCAAAAAATTCTGCTTCCCAGGGCCCCCAATAATAAGGAGGAATTCCCATTTTGGAACATGAAAGGGATAAAGATACACAGAATATATTGTCAAGTCCTCTGAATTTTCTCATCAAGACTCGCTATACCAAAATACAAAACGTAATCCCTGGACACACCTCTGTAATATACCCGAACACATGCTTTACTATAATAGAGCAAATACAGTATTTTGACCACTGTCACAGAATATTAAAATGAATGAATGAATAAAATTTATTTCACCAAAAAAAAAAACGATAAAGTTAGAAATTGCACAGGTAGTAAATACATATAAATGAATGAATGAATAACGAATTCTACTTAGATAACTTTTCTTTTTTTGGTGAGGATTACAGATATAGTTCATCAGAACTAGTCGAGTCCATAACCCCTGTATATATAATATCATAGTTTAATCACACAAATCTCCAAAAAAAGAAAAAAAGAGAAAAAATATTACAAATCAAATTTTTAAGAGATAGTTTTTTAATTTTGCTATAAATATGTCTCTTAGTGATGGTTTTAAATGCATCAGGCAATGAATTCCAATGTTTTGTTGCAGAGTATTTAAGACTGTGTTGGTTGAGTGTAAAATTCAGCATACCTTTTTTTTTCATATTTTGTCCAAAATTTTGAAAAAGATTTGATTTCAAAAGTTCCTAAAAATGTGTCAGTTTCACCAAAATATTTGCAGAAATATTACTCATGCTCAATTGTTTAATTACTTGGTGAAATTTATCATTTGCACTATGAAACGATTCTCTTGACAACATGCCTTGTAGTTTAGTGTTATGATCATAAAAAAATCTAAAATGGACACTAAATTGAACTTTCTTAAAAAAACATAATTATTTAATTTAGCATCTGCTGTATAACCCTAAAGGATGGGTTGACTTTCTCGCCCAAATTTCTCTGCACTTTTTCTTTTATTCTTCAATATTTCTGGAAATGAACATTAATTTTGAAACCAGCAGACAAAATTTGAATCAATAAAATCTTCTGAAGGAAAGTGCACACTATAAATGGGACTATTTTGTGAACTGGTGGTGAAAAGGTTAAGAAATGTTCAACAATAGACGAAAAAAATGGTTTACTTATACAAGTGTTATGAGAAACCCAAACTTTATATTGTGTTTCAGTGGTTGTTCATATAGAAATACATTTGTTTCCCCTATAGTGCAAGAAAGTGTACAATATTCAGTGGTCAGTATACTTGTACATACTTGTTTGATTGAAATAATAAAACTTGATCATCTTTTCCATGTTAATTGCATACATTGGGCCATTCCAGTTTATATCCGCACCCCCCCCCATGTTGATGAGCTTGTGTGTTTACTTCATACAGGGTATAATTTCCAAGGGTGTTTAAGTCATACAAAGTTTTATTTCCAAATCACCATTCTCCATACACTAATAGAATCCAAAACTATAGTTCCTACTTATGGTGTTGATGAGTTCCTTTGTCCCACCATTACAGAGTAGATTTCCAAATATAACTGTCATATGC